AGCCCAGCTATTCAACTCAGCTGTCCAGGAGAAAAAGCTCCCTGAGGAGCTGTTGTTAGCACATATTATAACGCTCCCGAAACCAGGTAAACCCCCGACACACTGCCCCAACTTCAGACCCATATCGCTACTTAACACAGATGCCAAATTATTAGCGAAAGTCTATGCCAAGAGGCTGGGCACCATCCTTCCCTCCCTGATACACGACGACCAAGTAGGGTTCGTAGCAGGGAGGCAAGGGGCAGATAACACCCGGAAAGTACTGAACCTCATACACTCCATACGGAGGTCGAACGTGGGAGGCCTTCTCGTGTCCTTAGATGCAGAGAAGGCCTTCGACAGATTAAACTGGGGATTCCTGAAAAGGGTCTTGATAAGAATGTGCTTCCCTAGCCATTTTATCAACATAGTGGAGGCCTTATACAGCTGCCCAACAGCAAAAGTGTTAAACGCGGGATTTTGTTCTGACAAGTTCACAATCACCAATGGTTCTAGACAGGGATGTCCCTTATCCCCACTACTCTACGTCCTAGCACTAGAACCTCTAGCAGCTAGAATACGGGCAGATGCATCCATACACGGAGTATCCCTGCACCAACGGGAATATAAATTGAGTATATTCGCTGACGATGTCTTTCTTACATTGACGCAACCACTAATATCCCTGCCAAACCTAATGAAACACATCACAACATATGGCCTCCTATCCTACTACAAACTAAACGTCTCTAAGACACAAGCATTGGGGATCAACATACCCAACAAACATATGGCGCTCCTTAAGGATTCGTTCCCCCTAGATTGGAGAGATGACTACCTAACCTTTCTTGGAGTGAAAATGACAAAAAAAACCGCCACACTGTTCAAAACCAACTACATACCCCTAGCTAACAACCTAAAAAACACACTACAGTCATGGGAGGGGAAATACTTGTCTTGGGTGGGCCGCATAGCGGCCATCAAAATGTCCCTATTACCGAAACTGCAATATCTATATAGAACACTGCAAATCCCCGTCCCAGGAACCTTCCTGAAATCACTTTCGCAACAACTAACAGCCTTCACGTGGAGTAATAAGAAGCCTAGGGTTGCGACGAAACTCCTACAAAGGCACCAAACACAGGGTGGGTTAGGTCTTCCTGACATAACTGCATACTATAAAGCGGCGGCACTAACAATAGTGCCGCAACTAAGACCACAACCAACGTCACCACAGTGGCTCCACATAGAAAACCACTGGGCAGCACCTTTAACGTTGCAAATGTTGTTCTGGACCCCAAAGCCCCACAGACAAGACACCACGCATCTACTACCCACAACGCAACACATACTGCACCACTGGGATGCCTCCAGGCACCACCTAGTTCATTACCTCCCTGTGCCTCTAGCTACCCCGCTAGAAGTCCTGGCCACCCTAATACCAACATGGGACAAAAAACCATGGCAACAAGGGGGAATAACTGAAGTGGGACAGCTGTATGAGGGAGGCAAACTCCGTCCATTCCCAGACATTCAGAGGGAGTACAATCTTTCCTCCAGACTGATTTTCCCTTACTTGCAGATAAAATCATGCCTATCTCAGAACAAACCCAACGCCAACAACGCTAACGCCCGAGAGCATCTATCTGAATTTGAACTTCTGTGCACGCACAGAAAACCGCTAAAAAAACTAATATCCATAAACTACAGCCTACTATTACAGAAGGCAGACACAACCAAAGACACACATATACAATCCTGGCATTCAGAACTAGGTAGATCCATAACAAAGGACAAATGGGACAAGGCATACACCTCACATAGGGGAATAACGTCCTGTGCCACCCATCTGGAGCTACAGCGCAAACTGCTGTACCGTTGGTACCTAGTTCCAGCCAGAATCCACCACATGTGGCCGCAATCCACAGACAAATGTTGGAGGTGCGGACACCAAAGGGGTACTATGACACACGTTTGGTGGACATGTGAAAATATCAAACCCTTCTGGCACGAAGTCCAAAATGTCATATCAAACATTGTACGTACTCAGGTGACCCTCACCCTAGAACTTTGCATTTTATTCATCCCCCCAGACGGGACTGCCAAGGCCACGTGGACTGCCATGTATCACGTATTAATATCAGTGGCGACACTTATCGCAAGGTTTTGGAAACAGGTAGCAATCCCAACCAGGGGACTCCTTATACAGCAGGTGACACTCAACTGGGTCTATGAAACAGCATTTGCGAACCAATTTGGAACTAAAAAACACTTGAAACAAGCCCATGTCATGTGGACGGATTTCCTGTCCAACCACACAACACAAGCCATACCTAAAGAGTGTCTACCCACGCCCACACAAAATGACACCCCATGAAACAGCACACTGACTTTCCCCCAACATGAACCATTCTCCCCATAGCGCAAGAGAATACCACCTCTGAAAGACCCCCGCACCACACCCTCCCCCCCTCTACCCCTCACCCTGACAGAGTCGAGTATGTGCAAACAATGCAATACAGAAATAGGAAGCAAAATAAGAGCCTAGGTTCTACTCAGTTGGACAAAGTACCCGGCTGACTATGAAATAATGGTTATAGGGAACAGAGCATAGAATAATGTCTAGTGCATACACACGCCTACCTCCGCATAAGTCGCATTGGTAGCCCAATGCGTCCACAGTCAAAGCATCCGCAGCATTCATAGCAAAATACTTAACGTATATATATACTCTTGTTAAAGCCTCTGTGTTATGCAATGATTGACCAATAGCATCACCGCACACCAGAAATAATATCACTCACTAGGGATACAGCAATTTTGCACACAAGAAGCGCAAACTAGCACAGGCTGCATATAGTAACTGTATTGTATAACTGTATTGGATATTTGACTGTATATCTGACTCTATCCCCTCCCCCTTTTTCTCATTCTGTACCCCCCATTCACTTTGAAAAATAAAAATTGTCAAATTGAAAAAAAAAAAAATGCAACAGTATATAAAACCACACAACACTACACACAAATCTACCCCCTAAATTCACACACACATTCCATATAAAAGCAATTACAATCTGTATTTTAAAAGTGATTAAAAAAAATTCTTACCTTTGCTTTAGAGGAAAAGAAAGACCTTGGAAACAACTGTATGGGTAAATGAGAGCAGAAATAGCGTGGTGATTGCTCTTCAACATGCTTTGAAGGATCCCTATGAACTTCAAGCCATGGCATTCTTTCCCAATTGGGTACTTTTTGGCACCAGGTAGGGTCACCATTGTTATGTATAAGGCTCAAAATCTCTACCATCCAGTGAGTTCCTTCAAGTATAATGAAGAATAGGTCAGTAGCATAATAGGTAGAATCAGCATGCAATTTCTGCACAACAAAAACATTTGATTAATTTTCAGCAAATAGTTCGCAAGGCATGAAGTAATATTTGAGTGTGAAAGGAACAGTAAATGTGATTTTTGGAGTTGTTTAAACATGGTATGCCTTCAAGAATGATGTCCTGTATGACGTGCAGTATAGGAGGAGATTTCACAGAAAGTAAAATTTTAGTTAAAGGGACACTATAGTCACCTGAACAACTTTAGCTTAATGAAGCAGTTTTGGTGTATAGACCGTGCCTCACTGCTCAATCCTCTGCCACTTAGCAGTTAAATCCCTTTGTTTATGAACAATAGTCACACCTCCCTGCATGTGACTTGCACAGCCTTCCATAAACACTTCCTTTACAGAGAGCCCTATTTAGGCTTTCTTTATTGCAAGTTCTGTTTAATTAATATTTTCTTATCCCCTGCTATGTTAATAGCTTGCTAGACCCTGCAAGAGCCTCCTGTATGTGATTAAAGTTCAATTTAGAGATTGAGATACAATTATTTAAGGTAAATTACATCTGTTTGAAAGTGAAACCAGTTTTTTTTCATGCAGGCTCTGTCAATCATAGCCAGGGGAGGTGTGGCTAGGGCTGCATAAACAGAAACAAAGTGATTTAACTCCTAAATGACAGTTAATTGACCAGTGAAATTGCAGGGGAATGATCTATACACTAAAACTGAGTTATTTAGGACTTTAAAGGACTGTGAAGTCATTGTCAGCCATAAATTGGAAAAACAGAGCAGAAACTGAGGAGGAGGAGGAGGTAGCCAACACTGTTTTTTTTTTTTTTTGTCGTTTTTATTTTTAATTGGGGTAGCCCCCAAAATATTGGGACATATAAAAAAAGAAACATTTGCGGCCTGCAGTGCATTTCTTGCAGTCCTGATGCATGGAGAAATGCTCAACTCCTGATGCATAGAGAAAAGGCCTTCACAAGCCTCTGCTATTGTGTACATAGTTTATACGAAGTGACCCATAGGTAGCGGAGAAGGAGGTAGCCAACACTGATATATATATATATATATATATATATATATATATAGATATCATCCAGTGGTATCCTGCACACACACTTTAAAGTATCAGAAAATGCCGGGTGCAAAAAAAGCCATAGCCAAAAATTACAAAAAATATATAGGAAATAAGGCTTGCACTCACGGTCTGTAGTAATGATAAAATATTTCTTCTTTATTGGAATATTCTTAAAACATGTCTGTTATCATCACATCACAGACCGTGAGTGCAAGCCTTATTTCCTATATATTTTTTATATATATATATATATATATATATATATATATATAAATATAATTTTATTTTTTAATTTTTTTAATTGGTGAAGCCCCCAAAATATTGGGACATCTAAAAAAAGAAAACTGTTCCGCTGAGCGACTGACCCGTGCGTACTGCATCTGAAAACTCCACTATCACCTGCTGCTGCTCGCACAGTTTCATGAGGCGGTGAGCGAGAAGGCCGAAGTTACGCTGCAGCGCAAACAGGCGAGCAGCAGCAGGGTGAGAATGCCGAAAGCGCTCCCAGACGGCCCGCACTTTCTGCAGCAGCTCTAATATATCTGATTATACACCGTGGCCTCACAAGGGCCACCCAGAAATGGCTCAACTCCCATCAAGCCAAGTTCCCGGAGGAGATCACCCAGCTTGTCATGTTAGAGCACTTTTTCCCCAACGACAAGGCGACAACGCATTCGTATGTCAATCCATATCAACTTTCGATGCCATTTACTGGGCCTACCATGGTGACCATGGGTAATGGGGAATCAGGGTTCGATTCCGTACAGGGACCCTGACAAACAGCTACCACATGCAAGGAAGGCAGCAGGTGCGCAAATGACCCACTCTCGACGCGGGGAGATAGTGACGACAAATAACAATACAGGACTCTTTAGAGGCCCTGTAATTGTAATGAGTCCATTTGAAATCCTTTAACTCTGATCAATTGGAGGGCAAGTCTGGTGCAGAGCGACTGACCCATGCGTGCTGCAGCTGAAACTCCACTATCGCCTGCTGCTGCTCGCACAGTCTCTCCAGCATGTGCAAGGTGGAGTTCCACCCTGTGGGCATGTTGCATAAGAGGCGGTGAGCGGGAAGGCCAAACTTACGCTGCAGCGCAGACAGGCGAGCAGCAGCAGGGTGAGAATGCCGAAAGCGCACACAGCCACTACAGTGAATGTCACATCCTGTTCCAAGTTGCGGATCAGTATGGTGATGGCTTCTGGTATCCAGTACTCTTTTTACTGAAGCTGCATCAGGGTCCTGGTACGTGGCCGCACAAACGCTGGTGCTCAACACCAGGGGCCGTGCGGTTTCCCTGCACCAGACCCTGCTAATCCATTCCACACTGTGACTCCTAACTTCAACATCAGACATCCTGGGTCCCGGTCGTCCGACCGACGCCCAGACAGTGTCTGGGTCCTGGTCACCGGAATGCGAAACTGCGAATGGCTCGTTAAATCTGTTATGGTTCCTTTTATAGCTCCATCAGTTACTTGGATAACTGTGGGAATTCTAGAGATAATACATGCCGACGAGCACTAGGGGACGGCTTCTCCGCTTTTGCACCCTGCTCCCTCTTATGCTGTGCTGGTGCCTCTGTGCGACCAGCGCCTCTTCCTTCAAACTGCACATGTCACTCATATGACCTTGATTCCATGTGGGGTCTAGGACCTCATCATCCTCCACATCATCTTCCTCCCACTCCTCAACCCTGCCCTCATTGCCGGTCTGCACACTGCAGAAAGCCACAGCAGATGGCACCTGTGTTTTTCCAGCATGTAAAGTCTGCAAAGGACATATGGAAATTGTTTTAGAATTGTATCCAGGAAACAATTGTCCCTATAAACTGACCTCTCAGTTTGACTTGTGAGGGTATTGCCCCCGAATTACAATATTGTTATATTGGTATTTGATGCTTCTATTTGTCTCTCAGATATGAAGAGCAGGCCCCAAAATGTACTATTTAGCAGTTTAGCACCCAGAAAATAAGAATTTTTACAACTGCGCTGTAAGCGCACTATGTGACGCTTCAATTTGATTCTCAGATATGAAGAGCACGCCCAAAATGTACTATTTAACAGATTAGCAGTTAAACAAGAATGTTTACAACTGCGCTGTAAGCGCACTATTTGACGCTTCTATTTGACTCTCAAATATGAAGAGCATGCCCAAAATGTACTATTTAGCAGATTAGCACCCAGAAAATAAGAATGTTTACAACTGCGCTGTAAGCGCAGTATTTGACGCTTCTATTTGACTCTCAGATATGAAGTCCACCCCACTAATGTGCTTTTTAGCACCAAACAAAAATTGACTTTTTAAAACTCCGATGTAACCGCGGTATTTGACGCTTCTATTTGACTCTCAGATATGAAGTGCACCCCACTAATGTTCTAGTATGCAGAATTTTTTTTCTAATCTGTCCCTGAAAGCGGCAGCATCCTCTCCCTACACTAATAAGAACTCATGTGCGTGCGGCGCTACGCGACTCCAGCTTATATATAGAGGCTGGGTCACATGCTGCACTGGCCAATCACAGCTATGCCATTAGTAGGCATGGCTATGATGGCTTCTAAGGGCACATGAGTCAAACATTTGTTGATTGGCTGCCCTGCAGCCTTTCAAAACACGCCATTAAATCGCCGAACACCGAACGCCAACCTGAACATACAGTGATATGTCCGTGTTCGGGTCTGTGGTCCAAAAAACTTAATGTTCGGTACGAACCCGAACTTTACAGTCCGGGTTCGCTCTACTCTACCAAGCTCTTATCCATGAACTATATTCTTTCAAGTACTAGTAAAGAGAATGAGGTATTAAAAATAAATTTGTATACACCAAAGGGTTAACAAAAGATTAAAAAAACACAAATGAAATATGGTGTAGGAACTTTTATTAAATCCACTAAAATGCAATATCCACTTATTATAAAGTTAGTATAACTATCAGGAAAAAAATAAATTCTCTCCATGCAATTGTATCTGTCAAAAAACATGAACTCCATAGGAGAGAACTGCAAAATAAAAGGAGACAGTTTGAAAACAAAGATGGGAAAAATTAAGGAGATAAAAGTATAGCGCTAGATTAGAAGGGAGAGGAAAGTAGCAAAATGACATTTCAAACTCACAAAAACTTCATCTACACCAAGGGGAGCGAACATTTTGGTAGTGCTGTGCTCGACTAAAAGTAATACAAGCCAGTACAATAGAGAGCCAGACCTTTTATTTTATTATTTTTAAAGTAACATTTATGTATGTTGAGAATTCGGCATGTTTTGTGTATGGGTGCGGTTGATGCTTTGTAAGGTTGAATTTGTGTGTATGTTTGTGGACATTATGTATGTTATATATATATGTGTGTGGGATGCCCATGGTGTTGTGTGACTGCATATATTGGTTGCATGCATAGTTGTTTGTAGAATTGTGCTTGTGGAGGGGTTGGCTTGTAGTATTTTGTGTGTGTGGCATAAGTGTTTTGTAGAGTTGTGTATGTGTAGATTGTTTGTGGTATTGTGTGTAGGCTGCCTGTTGTGTTATGGACACTTATCAGCCACAACATTAAAAGCACTGACGGGGGGGCGGGTCCTGACCGCCGACAGGATCAAACGTGCTCCGTCTGAGCTCCTGCTTCTGGGCCTGAAAATCTGTGCCAACTAGGTGCCAAACACAACCACTGACCCATACTGGTGCCCACAGCGACCTCCAGCAGCTAGGGTACACAGGGATACCACTCAAGACCCTGCCTGGCATTCCAAAGTATCCCGACAAGGCCCGAAGCGCTCTGGAGCTTGAGCCGGGTAGGGATGGCCGCTTTCCCGGGTCTCCAACTGGTGTCCCCACCCCCCTTCTGGACCAGGCGGGTTATCCCGTTCCCTACCCAGTGGCCACGACAACCACAGGCCCACCAAGACCCAGCAGCGTCACTACCACGATCAGTGGCCTAAGCATCTCACCAAAGATGGAGGAAGCCATGCGTGCCGAAGGCAATGAGGGGGCCTGCAACAACAACCCAGTGCTCACAACGCAAACAGCTTACAGGTACAAACTAGCCTGTTACCCACAACAGTCAAGGGCTAACCCCCAGCAAGGCGCCCTGGCACGATACTTACCATCGCGGACACAATCTTGGACTGCAACTTTAGCTCCAGGGCAGGCCCGAAACGGGAGGATGAGATGGGGGCACAGCAAGCCAGCACCTGCACCAAACTAGAACACACAGCAGACACACAGGTGGACACCTAGGTCAGGATACAGCTGGAGTTCCACTGCATTTTATAGAACTTGCCCTGTGTCCCTGGCTTTGCGCAAAATGTCTTCCTTGAGCTGGAAGTGGGCAAAGCAGCAGACCACATCTCTTAAATTCAGTAGGCGTTGTTGCCGGCCTGTCCAGTAATTTGTTAAATAGCTCCGTAAGGGTGTCTAAGCAGGGCGGTTTGGTTGAGGTTCTCCGCCATACCTCTTATCAGTATGTTTGCCATCTCCCACGATTGCCGAGGTCCTCCAAATGTAAGGCCATCTGACAGAGTTGGTCTGCGTGTTGGTGCAGTGCTCCCGTGTTCGCAGATTGCGCCGACATCACGTGGTCGCAGTCCGCCTCCAGTTGGGCCACTTTTTTATTTAAGCCCTGGATGTCCTCTCTGAGGGTGTGTAGTTCTGCAGCGATCAACTTGTGGAGAGTGGTGTTCGCCTCCTTCAGGTCCGCCTTTGTATAGAGATTGCGGATCAGCTCCACCCAGTCTGGTTGTGGTTGCTGGGGAGCCTTGGTAAGTAAGGCTTTGCCAGGCTGGTCACCACTTGGGGAATGTGCGCGAGAAAAGTTTGTAGCCTCCGAGTCATTTGAGGCCTGTGAAGCCAAGTCAGCCGATGTGAGAAGGTATAGGCGCATGGCAGAGGCTTGGGACCCCTTAGGAGTGTCGGAATGCTTGTTGGCTTGTGTAGCCTGAGTTTTACCCATGTTGGCAAGATATTGTGGGTCTCCGGCGAGCATTGTTGCTGAGCCTGCAAGGAGCTCCCGGTTTTGGCTGCCATCTTCCTCGGCCTCCAAGCCACATCCCCCTTTGTCTTCTTATACAACCCCCACCCCCCTTGGTTTTTGGGGTTCCCTCATGTTCTCTGGAGTGTTCTGGCTTGATTTGAGTAGATGTGTTATGATGTTAGGAATGCTTATTGTAATTTACACTGAGATTTGTGTGGTTTATACAGGCTGGACTACATTGTTGCCTACCCTATTCACTAGAGCTGTAGCTATATGCCTACATTTTGGATTGCCACAGAGTTTCCAAATTAGTTTTGCAAATTGTGAACTTTTCACACAGAGGAGTTGTGCTTTCACTCCTATTGGCAACAGTTAATAGAATATCTAATAATGAAAATACTAGGGTAGACATAGACTTAAGATATGCTTCAAATATGCTTGTTTTTTGTTTGTTTTCCAGGGAATTATATTGGCAGAGAGAATTGTAAGGAGAAATATTTTATATTTTTTTATGATCATAGCTTTATACAGCTTTTAGGATTTTAGCAGATTTAGCATTTCTCTCTTTCACATTGTGCATTCTTTTCTCCAAATGGTGGTGGAAGTCAAAATAATTCTTCACGCTCCAGCTCTCAACTTAATGTCATTGTGATAGAGGTGAAAAGTTTGCATGACTCTTTTGCAGCACGATAAATTTGTGCCATGCTTTATCTTGATAAATCCCCAAATTGGTGAAACGCGTTGATGTAAGTCAAGCCTGGAGTGCAGGTTGAGCCTCTGGTATTTCTCCGACCTCTGGGAGGAGTCTGGGTGGCACACAGGTTGAATTCATGTAAGGGTATTTATTTGTCTACATTAATTTACTTTTAATTAAGTTTATAATTCAATGTAG